TGGTTGCATAAATTTATCTACATACACAAAAAACAAAAAAATATTTTCTTTTTAAATTTATAAATTAATTTTAACATACTTTTTTTTTAGCTGTTTCAATACTTTTAATCATTGTTTTTCGTGTATCTGATAAACGATACATTTGTGCTGAATCGCAAGGTACTTCACAATCACGAAATTCTTCTAATGGTTCCGAACAAAAACCCATTACTAAAAATTTTATTTTATATGCACGTAATCGAACTTGTGTTCCACGTCCACAAACAGATGAACAAGCACTCCATTCTGACCATGGTAATGTCATACAACATGTATTTTTACCATCCTCTAAACAATGAAATTCATCATATAGAAAAAAAAATTATTTTAATTTGTTTTTTTTTGCTATATTATAACCTGTTCGTCCATGTAATAAAATATCGCATATATCTTCACATGTATCACGTGTAACAAAATGATTATCATTAGCACCACAACTACTGTAATCAAATTCAAGACATTTATTCATATTCAAATTAAAATAAAAACGTCGTTCAAATTGTGTACATGTACCAATTTTAATTGGTTGCATACATATAGGTTTTTTTCTATCATATCTGTTAAACAACCTTGTCCACATGATGGTTTCATTCCATGACATGTTTCTTTTTCCATTAATTGATATTCTAATCGACATTGAGGATTACCTCGAGCTTTTAACGTTGTACGAGAACGAGTGTGCATTCCTGCACCACATGTTACAGAACAATGTGATCATGGTGACCATTGGCTTACCATACACCTAAAAAAAAACACAAATTTCTCTTTTTGATTAATTTTAATAATAAATATCATAGAATATTTACATTGCATTATTTGATGATTTCGAATTATCATCTGTCATTGATGATAAGCATGATGTCAAATAACATGAAGTCATATCATAGGTTCTTTGAATACAATGACTACGAAAAGCTTTATCTGGCATAAGATAAGTACGTCGATGTGTTTTTATTCTATGGCCATAACTAACCGAACATGATGACCATGGTGAGCATTCAGTCATACGCCATTCAGATAATAATGTTTCTTTTTTAAAATACATAAAACACAAAAAAAAAGTCAAAATATTTTTCAAAACAATCATTTACCATAAGCATATATCAATTTTCCTGAATTATCATATTTTTGTTTCAATCGTTCATTACGGTATTTTGCTTGTGATAAATCAATATCAAGCGAGGAATCTTGATAATTATTTTGAACTCTATGTAAATTTTCTGTATCATATTGATTATTTGAACATTGATTACCACGAACAAGTGTACGTTGAAGAATAACATGTGCTACAGGCATTATTAATTTTCGATGTTTTTAATCATAAATACATAAATTTTATCCTTGAATTAGCCAACATAAATGGAACTCAAAATAGAAAATTAGTCATAATACAATTCATTACTATGATGACTCTATTAATAGATAACAATGTATTTATAAATAAGCTATGATTGGTTATCTAATCGTGCATGTTACGCACTATTATTTGTTTTTCAACTCTTCACATCATGTGATATGAATGATAAAATAAGTTTGAAAAGATTATGTTTTTTTCGTAAATATTATTGTTTTTGGAAAATGATATTTTATTTAAAACTGTTTATTAACAACGAATTCTATTTTTTTTTAGTTTTTAAAAAATGATATATAGCAATAGAATAAATTTTCTATGCACAAAAAAGATCAACATAGAGCTAACGAAAACTTCTAATACATTATTTTT